GTAACTACAGTCAACAGTAATCCCCCTACATTCAACACCTTCATGATGTTTCCCTTTGCCAGAGCTCCACCACGAAATCTCAAGATTCGGAGCATTTGTCGGATGAGAGCAAGAACCACCAAGGAGAGCAGGCATCAGATTTTCATGACAGATAATGGAAATACTGTGCTAGTCAGTGGATCAGCTTTCTATTTTGTTTCATGGATATTTGTATTCACTCAGATTGGAATAGAATGGAATCTGTCCCCAGTGGGCAGAGTCACCCCAAAGGAATGGAACAAGAAATAGCCATCAAATTTGTTGTAATTCCGAGTTGTTTCAAAATTTATTTGTTCTCTAAGCACTCTGTTTCTCTGTTGAAATATGGCCTTAATGAAAAAAAAAAGAAAATGTGTTTGAAACCTTAAAAAAAAAAGTGGTCTTAGTGTGATTAGCAGGAGAATATCTTGGTCAAAGAAATAATTCCCTTCTCGTGTTTGGTGCTCACTAGACCACATCTAGGGAGTTCTGGTGGCCTAGTGGTTAAGGAGCTGTGCTGTCCACGCAGTGGGTGATCTTCTCCTGTGTGGTTTGCAGATTCTGAAAGTCCACTGGAGGATCCGCTATGAATCAGTTCCAGCTTGAGAGCTATGACTTGTTATTCATTGAAACCATATCTAATGGTAGGTTCAGTTTGGAGGACCACAAATCAAGAGACCATTTGAGTGATTGAATCCAGAGCAGGGCGGCCAAGTGAGTGAGTGAAGGCTAGAGACCATATAGTGAGGAACAGGGGAATTATAATCTGAAGAAGGGAACAGAGGCCATTTTCAGAACTATTTGAGAGATTGTCAGATGGAACAGGGATTAGGAGGATTATTTGGTACTGCTCGAGAGTGCAGGTCTAGGTCTTCAAGGTCAAGGCTGTATCCCATGTTCAGGAGAAAAGAAACTTGAAATGGCCTTTAGGAGTACTGTTAGAGACAAGGACTGTCTTCTTAATCCATACTCTGTCTCCCTGTGACAGATATGCCAGGCCATCAGATGTATGCAGGGAAGGTTTTGCTGCCATATGAGGGTCGTGTGGACACCCAAGAATGTGTCTCCTGGGAAGCGGACTTTCTTCCTGTTGTCTTAAGTTTGTGAAAGCAAAGCAGGTGGAGAAAGGGATCTGTGTGTTTGTGGTTTGTTTTTTTTTTTTAACTGAACTTAAAGTTTTGAAGAGACATTATTCTGTGGCATTAAAATATGTTAACCTTGACTTTTAGTCAAAATGGAATTTGAGCCAAGCTCTGGAGCCGGTTTTCTGTGAGCCGGAATTGCACCGTAAGAGATTAGTAAGTGGGCCAAATGCTTAAGCTGCGCCTCCACTTACCAATTTTAATGAGTCCTTGGCTCCTTGCCCTGCCTCACTGTCACTGATGAGGGCGGTCATGATTGTGCTTAATTAAACTCTGTTCAGGGAACTTAGAGAAATAGTTCTTAAGATCCTCTGTTGTTGTTAGATACTGTTGAGCCAAGTACGACCCAAGGTGACCCCATGTACCGCAGATCTGAACCCTGTCCTATCTTGTGCCATCCTCACCATCTCTGACACACTTGAGCGCATTGCTGCAGTCTCTGTGTCAGTCCATCTGGTTGAAGGTCTTTTTCTCTTTCACTGACCCTGCATGATGTCCCCAAGTAATAGCCTCTCCTAGCAACATGCCCAAAGTATGTGAGACACAACTGTTCTTTTGCCTCTAACGAGCACTGTGGCTGCACCTTCTCCAAGACATATTTGTTTATTCTTTTGGCCATCCGTGGACTATTCAGTACCCTTCTCCAGCACAGCTCAAAGGCATCAGTTCTTCTCCTGTCATCTTTATCGTCTAGCTCTCTGTGGTGTAGCAAGTGATTGAAAAGACCGTGACCTGAATCAAGTGCACCTTAGTCTCTTTAGGACTTTAAAGAGGTCTTCTGTAACTAATTTAATTTGCTTAGTACAGTTCATCATATAATTTCTTGACTGTTTCCATGGAATTTGATTGTGGATCTAAGTCATTAACAATTTCAGTCTTACTTCACCTATTGTTGTTTAATGGTAAAGTTGTGAGGATATTTGTTTCCTTATGTTGTGATAGTATCCACAATGACTTTTCTGATTATCCTCAGGATGTGCTTCAGATAATCTTCATTTTCAATGAGCAAGGTTATGTCATCTGCATATTAAAGGGTGTTATTTGAGTCTTCCTCCTATCCTGAGGATACATTCTTCTTATTGTTCAACTTTTAGGATCATTTGTTCAGCTTATTGATTGAATAAATATTATGGAAAAAATAGAACCTCAATGCATATGTTTCCTGATTTTAAATTATACACTATCCCCTTCTTGCGTTCAAATGACCACTTTTTTTGTCTTTGTACACATTCTATTAAGACAGACTTGGAAGCTGGAGTAGCATCCACTTCCTAACCAACATGCCTCTGGAAACTATGAACTTAGAAAAGCGACGATAGTTATAGAGGAGGGTTCATAGGTCTTTTGTTCATAGGGTCACTATGAGTCATGCTTGACTTGACAGCTCTTAACAACAGCAATACGTTCTATAGGAACACATTTAATGTTCTAGAATTCCCATTCTTTGCAGTGTTACCAGTAATATGCTAAGATCCATGCAACAGAATGCCTTTGCATAGTCAGTAAAAGTAAACGTCTTTCCAGAATTCTCTGTTTTCAGCCGAGAGCCACCTTATGTCAGCAATGACATCCTTCACTGTAAGTCTTTTATAAAATCCTACTCGAATTCTGTCAATTCTCTGTTAAGATACTGCTCCAACCATTGTTTCAAACATCTTCAGCAAGCTTGCAGTTGTGTGTGATATGTACCATTCGAATAATTGATGCATTTTACTGGATTACACCTTTCTTTGGGATGGGCACAAATATGGATCTGTTCTAGTCAATTGATCAAATAATAGTTTCTCAAATTTTTTAGTGTGGATAAGTGGGCACATACAGCACAACATCTGTGTGTTGAAACATTCAATTGGTCAGTTCTTGGAAACTTGCTTTCCATCAGTACTTTTAGCGCAGCTTGGACTTCATCCTTCATTACAGTTGGTTCTTGTGCATATGCTCCTTCCTGAAATTTGTCAACAAATTCTTTCTGGTACACTGAGTCTATATTTTTGTTATCTTCTTTGGATGTTTTTCTTCATTTCTTTCACCTTAAGAACTCTAACCATGTTCTTTCCTTTTGGTTTTCTGACGCAGGTGTTTCTACATTTTGTTGTAATACTTTGCTTTGTCTTACTGAACTGCCCTTTGAAATCTTCATTTCAGCTTTCTACATAATTTCTTCCTTTCATTTTTGACTGCTCTATGTTCAAAGCAAGTTTTAGAGTCTCTTTTGACATCTGTTTTGGTCTTTTCTCTCCCCTCCTCCCTTTCTTCCAGTAGGATATTATTGATGTCATTATGTAACTCATCTGGTCTTTGGTTATTAGTGTTCTGTGTATCAAATCTATTCATAAGATGGTCTCTAAATTCTGATGGAATATTTAATGTATCAAGGTTGTATTTTGACTCTCATAGTCTTGTTTTAATTTTCTTTTCAACTTGAACTTGCATATGAGCACTTAATGATCTTTTCCATAGTTGGTCCCTGGTTTTGTTTCAACTGATAATACTGAGCTTAAGATTTTCATTTTGACAATTCTGTTCTGTTAGGTGTGATGGGAGATCTGGTGCTGTAGTTAGTTGGATCTGTAAGTAGTTTTGTCTGGGACTGTTGTATTCTGGATCTATAAGTAGTTGATCCACTAACACAAGGGCCATACTTCTCTGGCAGTTCAGATCCACCAGTGGCTTTATGAAAGAAAGATGGGCAGTCTCCTACCATGCACTTTATAGCCTCCGAAACCCATGAGTTTTAACTCTTTGGCAATGAGTTTGAGTTTGAATCCTTCAAGGAGCTCTGATGGCATATTCTTTGTGTGTTCTGCTACTAACCAGTGGACATTGTATCTTCAGTATTTTAAATCCACTAGTGACTCAGCAGGAGAAAGATGATCAGTCTCTTCCCATTACTCTTTACAGCCTTGGAAGCGTAACAGAAGGTCTCTGAATCAGAACTAACCCATGGCATGAATTTGGTTTGGTTTTACTTCTTTGTTTCCAGCTTTGCAAATCCAAGCACCAGTTGTTTTAAGAATACATCTTGATTGGGTGTTTGATCAATTCCAGACTGCAGAAGTTGATATGAATTGTCAGTTTAAAATAGCTTCCTGGACTGTCTCTCTATTCTCTGCAATCAGAATTTCTTTTTTTTTTAAAATTTATTTATTTATTTATTTTTTTTTTTGTGAGTGTACCGTCAAATCAGATCTGACTGGTACAGGAGGAAATTGTCCCTCCTTCCCTGGCAGAGCATCTGGTGGATTCGAACCATGCACCTCTGGGATTGTAGTTGCAGGTCCTTGCCACTAGGCCACCAGAGCTCCCCTTGCAATCAGAATTTCTATAAGTGGATCCTGTCAGTGGAGTTTTGAACTGGCACAGCACTACCAGTGAGTCTTAAACACATTCAGGGACTTGATGGCACATAACAACAAGAAGTATCAGGAAAAGGGAGCTCTGGTGGCCTAGTGGCACAGTTTGAGGCCACCAGCTGCTCAGCAAGAGAAGAATGGACAGTTTCCTCCTGTGCGATTATTTGCCTCTGAAAACCTGCTGGAGGGTCAGCTATGGGTCGGTTCCGACTCTGTGGTACACAACAACAACAATAAGTATCAGGAAAAAGCATAATGTGGTTTAGACAGAAGGAGCAAATTGTTCAAGGGGACACTGCTTTGTAAAGAGTTGGTGGCAGCCTGGAGCCTGGGTAGGGAAGCTTGGCTGTGTCACTGGCCTAACCATGTGACTTGGAACATACTACCCAAGCCCTGCCAGCCTTAGAGAGATGCGATGCTTAGGGAGAGGTAGAGATGCTATGATCTGATGTCTCTTCTCCTGGTCTTGCCTTGTTTTTTTCAGTTGTCCAGCATGCTCTGCCCATTCCACACCGAGACTCACTGACCATGAGCCTCAACTCCACTCTGACCCACACGAAGGAGCTGAGGAACCTCACTGTAGTGGCAGACGATGAAGGAGGCGTCCTGGTCACCGAGTTCATTGCCATCATCGTCATTACCATTTTCGTCTGCCTGGGCAACCTGGTCATCGTGGTCACCTTATACAAGAAGTCTTACCTCCTCACCCTCAGCAACAAGTTTGTGTTCAGCCTGACTCTGTCTAACTTCCTGCTGTCCGTGTTGGTGCTGCCTTTCGTGGTGACCAGCTCCATTCGGAGGGAATGGATCTTCGGCGTGGTGTGGTGCAACTTCTCCGCCCTTCTCTACCTGCTCATCAGCTCGGCCAGCATGCTCACCCTTGGGGTCATTGCTATTGACCGGTAAGTATGCCTCAGACTCAGAGCAAAGGGGTAAGGAGAGAGAGCACAGGGTTAAACCTCAGAGAATGTGCAGTCCAGTGACTTCCTTAGATTCTTGGGAGAGTGTTCAGGGGTCTTTGCTGTGGGGGAGAATGAGAGAGTGGGGTCCTATCTCTGTTGTCCCCTTAACCAGAGCACTTCAGATTTTATCTGATCTTTGAAATCCTTGTTTGTTGCAAATAGTCACACGTAAGGTTGACAGTTCAGGAGAGAGATGCCTCACAGAAAGGCCTGTCAGGTCTAGTTCTGAAATAATCAGCCATTTGAAATTCTGTGGAGGGCAGTTCTACGCTGACACATCTGGGTCTGCCATGTTGAAATTAATTTCCATGGAAACTGCTAATGGTGATATTGCCTATAATTTTATTTTCTAAAAAAGAGATTCCATTGCTTTAGAGAGAGAGAGAGCACACTTAGTTCTAGAAATCTCTGATTCTCAGTTTATGGATGAGCAGAAGTAGTAGAAGTTGAGATAGATGAATCGTCCTGGCCTTCTCTCTTTGTTGCATGCTCTTTCCCAGCATGCTACCTGCTTTTGGCTCGAGCTTGACTGCAGAGCCCAGATAGGAAATACCCTTCCTCTGCTACAGGAAAGGGGCATTGAAAACGTGATTCAGTTCAGATCTGATGGAGGAGCTAGTAGAAGGAAGAAAAACTAGAGATAAGGACTTGGGAGAAACTGTTTTTAAAAATATGGTTGTTTCTCCTCTTGGCGTAGTTGGTTCACTCAGTCAAAAATGTCACTGCAAGGGGAGCTCTGGTGTCCTAGTGGCAAGAAGCTGCACTGCAATCCCAGAGGCACATGGTTCAAATCCACCAGGTGCTCTGCTGGAGAAGGAGGGACACTCTACTCCTGTACCAGTCAGATCCGATTTGATGGTACACGCACACACACACACACACACACACATGAAATCATAAAATAATAATTAAAAAAATTTTTTTTTAAAATGGCCCTGCTGGTGTCCCGCAGTTACACCCAGCAGGTCCTTTCAGGCACTGCACTTTCTGTCAGAGATAGCTATGCATGTCTTATGGGGCTCTGGCAGGAAGTGTCCAACCCTTACACTTACTAAAATTATTATTATTAAAATTCTGTTGATGGCACGGTTGGGCTTCATGATGGCAGGGAAGGTAGGTCCAAGTTCTTTGATTTACCAGAAATTGGAAAGGAAGATAGTAGAAGAGTCAGGAAAAACACAGACCAGACTGACAGGAATGTTTTCACTGGGTGACACAAGAGTCTGGGTGCCTTTGAGGCCATCAGGTTTTCAGGCACCAGAGTAGTTGGATGGTCTATCTGGAGCCTCAGTGGGGAGCTTCAGGAGATGTGCTCCCGTGTTCCTCATTGATAGAGTCCAGCCTGCTGTTGGGACCCTGTTGACTCTGTGCCTATGGGGTAATCATAGAATGAATTAGCACCATTAGTCAAAATTGATCAGTAAGTTTCTTAGAATGTCTTTTCTAATAAAAAAGCAATATCCATAATCCCACCAATTAGTAGCAATCACTGTTAACGTTTCTCCAGAATGAATTTTTATTAACTTTTTCTTTTTTGTGAAATTATACACTACACCACTCGCAATCGTTACATACCTCACACTGAGTAACCATGCTATGTCTTCCTATGTGCTTTACAACCGTTCTGTGCAGAATTTTCCCTTTAAATTCTCTGTGTTTTCGTTTCTGTTGTCCACTTCAGGGGGCTCTGGTAGCACAGTCAATGTTGAGTTGTCCTGTTATTCCCATAGCACCTCAGATGAGTTGAATCCACCAGCTGCTTTGAGGGAAATAGATGGGCAGTTTTCTTCCATACAATTTATAGCCTCCCAAAAAGCCACTAGAAGGTCAGCTGTAAGTCAGTTCTGACTTGGCAGCAATGAGTGAGTGAGTTGTCCACTTCAGTTCATGTAGATAAATCTTTAAAAGAGTATAGTACTCAGAGAAACATTGTATTAGATGAGTTAAGCTGTTTGGCTTAAAGATTTCTTCATTGGACACTTTCAGTTCTTGGCTTAATAATTATTTCCAGGAACAGACTAAGAGGTTCTTCCATTCTCTATATATCTAGTAAGTCTGGCTTCCAAAAGCAATTTGAAGTTCTGTTCTACATTTACCCTCCTTTTTGATCAATAGCTGACTATTGGATCCTTGATCAAAACATTAAATATTGGTAGCTGGATATCATGTTTCTTCTGACCTCACAACAAAGGAGGAAGTAGTTCATGGATATTTTCACTGTTTTAAAATCTGTATACAGTAAATTTTTTAAAGCAGTCTTATGAGACAGGATCTTTGACAATATGTAGTATTTTGTGCTACTATTGAAAAGGCTGTGTGTCTCTAGTGGTTCAAGTCTGCCAGCTGCTCCATAGGTATTCTCTTCCCATTAGGATTTATATCCTCAGAAACCTGATGGAGGGTTACAGTGTGTTGGAATTCACTCAATGGCAATGAGTGAGTGAGTGATGACATAAGGAGCCCTGGTGGTACAGTACGTTACATGTTGCACTGTTAATCCAAAGAACAGCAGTTTGAATCCACCAGCCGCTCCACAGCAGAAAGATGGGCAGTCTCCTCTCACGAAAATTTACAATCTTAGAAACCCAGTGGAAGGTTGCTATGAGTCAGAATCCCCTCAGTGGCAATAGTTTGGTGGTGGTTGTTTTTTAAAAAAGACCCTCAGGGAGATAGATTGATACAATAACCGCAACAATGGGCTTCATTCAGCCTGGTGGTGATTGTGAAGATGGCCTATGATAGAGAAGTATTTTTATCTGTTCTTTATAGGGTCACTCTGAGTTGTTTTTGACTTGACAGCATCTAACAGCAACAGCGACGTGACACATATCAGGAGCTGTGGTGATGCAGAGGTTAAGTGCTCGGCTTCTAACTTGATGGGGTGATTCTCCTCTGTCCTGTAGAGTTGCTGTTCACCAAATCTGACTTGACAGCAGCCAGTTTTATGGTACTTATGACTTTCTGACCTGCTTTTCTGTCTTCATAAGTGATCATAAGCATTTTTGTCTCTTCTGCAGATATTCTTTGAGAATGTAATTTTTAATGGTATTTTATCCTGTGAGTGCACTGTAATTTAATTTTATGGTCCCTTATTATTGGCTATTTAGGTAGTTACAGATAGCCTGCTGTTATACACAGCACTTTCAGGAACATTTATGTTTGCAGAATTGCTGTGTTTTCAGTACAGTAAACTCACTTTCTAAACTCTTGATGCAGAAAAGGCAACTTACCCTTTAGGAAGATGTACAGATCTTTACCTCAGCAGTTCTTTCTCAGCTTCTTGTTAAGATTGGTTTTATAATGTTTGTTGTGGTATTTTTTTGTTGTGTTGTGTTTTGTTTTCTTTTAAAGTTGCAAGTTTGTTTGCTGTGAGGAGGAACAGGCTCTCACTACTCTTTTGTTGTTGTAGTTGATTTGGAACCAATTCATAGCTGACCCTCCAGCAGATTTTTCTGAGGCTGTAAATCCCATGAGAAGAGGCTGCCAGTCTGTCTCCTTTGGAGTGGCTAGTGGATTTAAACCACCTGCCTTTAAGTTGGCAGCATCATTCCTTACTCAATAAGCTATCAGAGCTTCTTACTTCTTACTACTTTGTGATTTTTACAACATATTTTGATTTCTAAAAGAGCAATTGCAGGGGCTCTGCCTTCAGGCGCATGTCATGGGTGAACACCAGAGGAGCAGGGATGGAGACTGACCCTGCAGTGCCTTGCCCAACACTCTCTATAGATGGGCTTTTGGTAAATAGTCAAAAACTATCTGCAGTGGTGTCTCTGGGAAGCTGAAAATTGCTTATTTGGTTCTGAGGTCTAGATGAACCAGGGTGAGGTTTTCACCGGCAAGCATGACCAATCCTCAAATCATGCCATTAAAAAAGAGCCATCCTGAGGAGAGTTTCTCTCTTTTATTGACTTAGTCCCTCACTGGGAGAGATTTGTTGAATGTCTGCTCTGTGCCAGGCTCTGTGCTAATTTGTGGAGGTAGCATATACGCATGAGTAGGACAGAGACTCTGCCATCAAGAGTTGACAGCTTGTGGGTAGAGACTGACCTGCGAGCGCCGATGGTGAAACAAAGCAGAAAGGACAGCCAGGCAGCCCCACCACTCACCACTCCGGGGAAGAGATGGCATTTGACCTAGTTCCTGAAACAATGAGTGGGATCATGCGGAGATGGAAGAGACTGAAAAGACCTTTCTACTGGAAGCAGTGGCCTCCGTTTGTTCAGTCGGTAGAGTTCTTGAACACCTAATGTGTGCCTGGCACTGTGGTTGGTGCTGGGAACACAAAGCTGACTGAGATGATTAACAGTGCCAAGAAATTAATAGTTTAGAGGAAGTAGATGTGTGATCAAGTAATTTAGGACCAGATGATATATACATGATGCCAGCATGTGTAAGACTCTGTGAGAATACAGTGGGGGCAGCAAGACAGAATGTGATAGAACAGCTGCTCAAGGCACGTGCTGCACTGTGCAGTGTCTGACCCAGCTGGAGCTTCTGCAGGGGCACCCGTGAAAGACAAAGAGAAGCCTCTGCCTTTGCTTCAAGAAAGTCCAGCCCTGCTGCTTACATCACAGTCTGATCAGCTAACCCTCACCCCATAATCATAAGAGGGCCAAACCAACAAGGAGACAATAGTTCTAATTACATACCCATCAAAGGAGCTCTGGTGGCCCCATTCGTAGGGTCTCGTACTGCTAATGAAAAGGCTGCAACCCCAGTGATTTGAATCCACCAGTGACTCCATGGGAGAAAGATGGGAAGTCTCCTCTCTGTGTGATTTACACCTTTAAAAACTCAATAGAGTGTCTCTGCGAATTGGAACTAATGCTACGGCAGAGAGTTTGAGTTCAATACCTGGGCACCGAACACACCAAACAAATACTGGTAAGAAATAGAAAACTCTTGGAAGCAGGAGTGGCATCCACTTCCTAAACAAC